GCAGTTTGGAGGTCCGGGATCCCCCCCAAACAAACCCGAGGCGCCCCTGCCAAGAACATCCAAGTCTGTGACCCGGTATGTTTATCAATGCTGACCGCAGGGGGTACGAAGCAAAACGTATTCCAGTCAGGGGGGAAGGCTTCGTAGCAGCACCTCTGTTTATTCGAAGACGCGGGCCTTACCTGTGTATACATGTGTATATATATATACATAGGTATGTGTGTAAGGCACGCGCCTTCTCAGAAGCGGCCTCCTTCTAAGAAGCCTTCCCCCTTCCCCCATACCCGCTTGTGCGCGCCGCCAAGTTTGCTTGAGAAGCCCCGCCTCATGCCATCCCAACGGTTCCCCCCCACGCCGACCGAGCCCAGTCCCTCAAGCGCTCCCCATCCCCACGCACCTCGAAGGAGAGCCCATATTCTTACACCCCCACACGATCCACCCTTTCATGTTTCTTGAACAGTTTTGAGTGTCCGCACTTCCTCCTCATCGGGACGCGCCCCCTGAAGAAACGGTTGTGTCGGCGTACTCATCGGTCGTTCAAAGTAGATATTGTAGTGGCCTCCGACCAGTGCCGCCGATCCGGGGCGCTCCTGATGCTATTGTTGTTGAAATGGACGGTGTTGACGACAACGGACGACCAACGGTCGACGAGCGGGATGATTACGACGACGACCGACAAAGGAGTTAATGACGACGAACCGACGACGACGACGACAGCGACGACTGACGGCGAACGGCTGCCGACGGCCGACGACCGACGACTGGTGACGGCGACGGGTGGAAGGTTCTTCGTTCATCGCTTTGGCTTCCGAGCAATACCAAGTCAGGCCTTGCACCTTTGGCCTGACAGCACGCAAGTGAGCGCCTCTTGGGGCCTCTTGCGTGGGGGGTGGGGGGGGTGGGGGTGGGGGGGGGGCGGTGGGGGGGGGGTGGGCTCTGGTGGGGGGGGGGGGGGGGGGGGGGGGGGGGGGGGGGGGCGTTGGGGGGGGGGGGGGGGGGGGGGTGATTCTTGGGGACTTCTTGGGCGCCTTGGGGCCTCTTGGGGGCCTCTCGGGGTCCTCTTGGGCCCTCTCGGGGTCCTCTTGGGGGCCTCCTGGGGACCTCTTGGGGGCCTCTGGGGGCTTCTTGGGGGCGCCTCGGGGGCATCTTGGGGTCATCCTGGGGTGGAGGACTAGAAGGGTCCGTTCGGATTCACCCTTGGGGGCCTCTCGGGGTCGTCTCGGGGGGCCTCCAGGGCTATATTGGGGCCCTCCTGGACCGTCTTGGCTCCTCTTGGGGGCCTCTTGGGCTGTATTGGGGCGATCTTGGGGGCCTCTTGGACCGTCTTCGGCGCTTCTCAGACGGAAAAGGCGATAATGTCAAAATGTTTCAAAACGTTAAAATGCTTCAACACTTGTTAGCAACCATTATTATTGTACCCTTCTTTTTTGGGGGGGGCCCCTTGGGTTTTTGTAATCTAGGGGGTTTTTCTCTTCTGTTTTTTGTTCCTTTTTCTCTTTCTCTCTTGTCTCTTTTTTTTTTTCCTCTGGATCCCTGAGGCATCTTGAAGGCCGCCTTGGGCCGTCTGCAGGCCATCCTGGGCGTCCAGGAGCGCTCTTAGGCTTTTCGGGGCCTCAGGGGACCGTTCTTGGTGCCTCTGGGCCACTTTTGGCCCGTCTTGGGCGGTTTGGATTTCCCGGGGGGGGGGGAAGAAAGGGTGGACCCCATGAACCCGCCCCCCCCTCCCCCCCCCTACCCCGGCAGAGCCACCCTGGCCCCCCCCCCAGCAGAGTTGAAGCTCAGGTTGTAGCTTTCTTAAACTCGCACGCCGGATCGGCGGATTAGGTGATTTCCATCTTCCAATCTACTTTAAGCGCATTCCTACTTCAAGGATCGAGTGGCTTCCCCTTTTTCGCCCTCCTTAGGGGGCGTGCGGACACCCAATCTATTTTCAACGCTCTCCTACTTCATGCTTTTACCTACTTCTTCCGACCGATGGGTACTGGCAGTTCCTCATCGGGACGCGCCGCTGCAGAAGTGGTTGTTTCGGCGCAGTGGTGACCAAGCTCATACGGGGCATGCCGACATGACATAAGAATAACCGGCGAACCATCAGAACGCCAAATATCTCGCACCGTAATTCGCGCAACAATGACGCAGACGAACAGCGGGGGTCACTGTACATGACGAAGTCGCCAAAGGCTCCACCAGCAACGAGGCGCCAAGCATGGTACATGAAAACGCCGCCAGAGGCCTTCAGGGACCTCTGCAGGGTCCCAGACCTGCGTCGTCGTCGGGTTTCTTTAATGCGCCGCTTCGGCCCGAAGACCAGCAAGAAACAATCCAGCATCCCCGCGGGAAGGGATCGCTACAGGTCTGGCGGCCACGCAGTGCAAACGTTCACGAAGTCGGAGGTCTACGGCTTCCAGCCGGGTGGGGATTTTCTTGGCGGGTGGGGTCTGGGTGCTTTCTAGCAGCTGCGACTCAAGCGCCTTCCAGGTCCGCCCGAATCGTTACGGGC